CCATTTATACAACAAGATGGCCAACTATCAACCTCAAATCAATTTTGGGGATAGACTCCTTAAATATAATAAACACCCAAAATACTTAGGTGTTACACTTGACAGAACGCTGAACTTTAAAGAGCATCTTACTAAGACTGCTGCAAAACTCCGAACTCGTAACAACATCCTGCAAAAGCTCTGCGGCACTACATGGGGCTCCTCAGCACCCACACTTAGATCGACAGCATTAGGACTGGTATACCCCGTAGCGGAATACTGTGCACCAGTATGGATAAACAGTCCACATACTCACCGTGTTGATGTCCAACTCAACCAAGCCATGCGAACTATATCGGGCACAATCAAGGCCACGCCCACTTACTGGTTACCAGCTTTGAGTCATATAGCTCCACCACCCATCCGCCGGGAACATGCCCTTGTCAGAGAATTTACAAAAATCAATACTGATCCTGAGCTCCGCTCCCATGTCGGAACTTCCGCCAGAGACATAAATAGGCTCCGTTCAAGACACCCGCCTCTAAAAACAGCAAAAAGGCTAGTAGATCAAAACTTTAATGTAACTGAACGGTGGAGAGAACAATGGGAGAATAACGCTGCACCAGCTAACTGGAACATGCCATGTATTACAAGCAAACCTGAGGGCTTCAACCAACCGAGACGAATTTGGACCACACTCAATAGAATAAGGACGAACTGTGGCAGATGTTCCGACTCACTTTTTAGATGGGGAAAAATACAATCACCAAATTGCGACTGCGGCGCCGAAAGGCAAACAGTAAAACACATGGTAGAGGAATGCCCGATTAGATCCTATAATGGCAACCCTTCAGATTTCCTGGCTGCTACAAAAGAGTCAATCGAATATATTTATAATCTAGATGTTTGTTTGTAGAATAATATTTTTATATTTACTGTTGTTTGTAATTTATATAATTTATATTATATATTTATATTTATATGAACCTGTGATGTAGCCATACGCTAAATAAATAATAATCCCAATCAATGCGTGAGTTTGGTATACCAGAAAAACTTATTCAATTAACGAGAGTGACAATGTCTAATTTAAAAGCCAGCGTTAGGATACAGGGAGAAAATTCTCGATCCTTTGAGATAAAGGATGAACTCAGACAAGGGATGCCCTGACTTGCCTCCTATTTAGCATTGCCTTGGAAAAGGCAGTCCGAGGAGACACACGAATTAGAAACAGTGGTACTATTTACAACATACATGTTGGTATGGTTAGTACAAAACCAAGTACATGTTGGTTACTAAGGATCCTATAGCAAATGAGGAACAGGAAACTGCATTTGGAAGTCATATCTATGAACGTGTTGACAGCTTTACATACCTTGGCTCCTAGTGACTACTACCAATAAAACAAGCAAAGAAATTAAAAGGCAAATAAACCTTACAAATAGGCATACTATGGACTTCAAAAACAATTCCACTCAAGAAATATCCAAAGAAAAACTAAAATTATTACATAGAAAACACTGCTGAGGCTGGTCCTTACATACGGGGCGGAAACATGGACTCTAACGCGGAACGATGAAAGACTTCAGGGAATATTCGAGCGTAAGATACTCCGCAAAATATTTGGAGCTATAAAGGATCAAGAGCAGTGGCATAAAAGATTTAATTTCGAATTATACCAACTCTTTAATGAACCAGATATCGTCCCGTTCATTAAAACACAGCGACTTAGATGGACCGGGCACATAATACGAATTCCTGACAACATGATTGCTAAAAAGCTAACGATAGAAACATCTATAGGAAGAAGAAGCAGAGGCCGACCGCAAATTAGGTGATTAGATGGCGTTGAGACCGGCTTAGGGATCTTAGACACAGAAGATTGCCGAGTCAAAGATGATGATTTTGAATAAAGTGTTTGAAATTTCTAACAGTCTTAAAAATTGAGGCATGTTTTTCTAGACAGATATGATTTTATAAATCGACAAAAAATACTGAATTTATTAAAAGATTTGAAAATGCCGAGCAAACTAATTAACCAAGTTAAAATGACAATCAGAAATCAAACAAGGTTTAAAGCAAGGAGACCCTATATCTACAACTTTGTATAATCGGTTTCTAGAATGAGTCCTAAGGGATGGCAATTTAACCAGAACAGAGGCTTTAAAGAATAAAGCGCTAGCAGATATTGGCTTATGCAAATAATATTGCCATTTTGACTAGATACGTCGATGTATTGAATGGTGCATTTCAACTCTCAGTAGAAAAAGTCAGCGTAGTCATTAATGAAAAAAAAATCAATTTACATGAAATATACAGTACCTCAAACAGGATTAACAGAACAGGTAACCTTCAAGATTAACGGAAGATACAAACACCCAAGCGCACGAAGCGCGCGTTATACCCGCGCCCAAACGCTCAGTGCGCAGCATGCCGTGTGTTTGTTGATTCTGTATGACCAAAAAGCTATTTGTTTATTCCTTGTTAACGTAATAAAATGTCATTTTACTTTTCTTATGGGGGATTTCAATGGCAAGGTAGGAACTCAAATTGATGATGCAGAGACGGCAATAGGAAAACACGGTTTAGAAGGTCGAAATGAGAGAGGCCAGACACTATTAAATTTTCTTCATAACCATCAGTTATATTTGATGAATAGCTTTTTCCAAAAGAAGCCACATAGACGATGGACATGGGTAAGCCCAAATGGAAACGTAAAAAATGAAATAGATTTCTTATAACAACACATAAAATATATGTCAAAGATGTCACAGTATTAAATTAGTTTGGCATTGGTAGCGATCATCGAGCAGTGAGAGCTACAATAAAGAGTAAGAGAATTGAAAAAATGGAGTACACCAGAAAACACAAAAGAATATGTGAAAGCTATAAATCGGGCCTTAATCCACCCTCTTTCGACAGATGTTGAAACCGTAAATAATGCAATCACAGAAGCGTTAATGACTGCACAAAAACAGTACTGAGCTAGACCAGCCGGAAAAGAAGAGAAACTGAGCGAAAACACCAGAAAGCTCATTAAAGAATGAAAAATCAAGAGATCAGAGCAGAAAGGCGACTCAGCTGAACTTAGAAATCTGAACAAACATATCTCAAAAGCAATTCGTAAAGGTCAGAGGAAGTATAATACTGAGAAAATACAAAATGTGATTGAGCAAAATGGAAATATGAAAATACTCAGAAGAAAGCTTTGTGATGGTAAAAAGGAAATTGTTAAACTAAAAGACAAGGAAGATAATATAACAACAAATAGAGACAGAATAGTAGAGATAGCAGAAAGCTTCTATGAAGAATTATACAAAAGCCAGTTAACAGAAGAAGACAAAACACAAATTATAGAACGCAGAGTAATGAACCAAGGATCCGAACTTCTGCCTACCATAACGATAGAAGAAGTGAAACGAACTCTAAAGGAAATGAAAAACAACAAGGCTCCGGGAGATGACCAAATAGTAATAGAAGCTGTTAAAGTAGGAGGCAAGAAACTGCTGGAAGTAGTAACTGAACTATTCAACCTATGTCTAAACCAAGGTATTATCCCTACAAAATGGAACAATGCAATTACTATCCTAATAAAAAAAAGTATTACTACTAAAATACATTTTGTTCAGGGTGCTAGATGCTGTAAGCATAAAGGACCCCTATTATCTCTAATTGTTGATTAACTCCTTTTCTCCTTTAACCATCCCCTCCTTCTTCAGTCATTTCCTCTACTTTTTCTCATCAAGTCTCTGAGGAGCTCAGCCTCTTCAATTTAAAATTAATCACATAGGTTATAACTCTGATTTCTTCAGCCTGTAGATTTTCAATTTACCAAACTTGTTTTTATTAATTTCTCACCGTACTAACAGTCTTAAATAGTCATTTAAATACAAGGTCTTATATTAGCTTCAAATATTTGCTATTAAAATTTTTACCTGTCCTAGATGTGATAAACATAAAAGGACAATTTTCATATATATAAGCTAATCTAACATAAAATACACTTTTAGACCATATTCCATACGACAAAAAGCAACATAGGTTGCCTACCACGCAGGTCATCCTCTTAAACATGACTTTGACACCATTAGTGATTTGACATCGATTATAACACAAATTTTAAATCCCAACACCTATATTGCTGTTATTATTTTTAAATCATCAAAATAATTCTTAAATCTGTTAATTGTCAAACAATACCACGTTTGTTTTAACTAAATGGTTTATACTTATTTTAGGCGATTTTAAACCTGATGATGGACTGTTTAGTCCGAAAACGTTTGTTTTTTTGATGTAGCCCTTTTAAGGGTTTTTAAATAAATATACCCACTTACGAAGACTAACCTCTTTTTTTGTGATACGTGGTATACAGCCAGCTACAGGAATTGTTTTCCTTGTGTTTCACCATTTTTTTAATGATTAATTGTTAAAATGCGTTTAAACTTTCTATTTATATGCGACTGTTAAAGTTAAAGCTGTGATGCAGAAATATGCACTCTGTAAAAAGTAATGTCGACTCAAAGTGAGGCTAATATCGACTTCTTGACTTATAATTGTTATGAACTGTCACACTGTTAACTTCTAGGTATAATCTAGATTGATTTTTACAACAGTTATAAATAATTAATGATTGTGCCTTATTTTGCAATTTTTGAAGCTACAAATAAATAATTTAATATAATAATATAATATAATATAAATTTTAACAATCGCCATTTTAAACTTTTAATGTTTTAAAAGATAAAGTTTTGTAATTTTACCTCAAATATTATATATGCCTATAATAAATAAAAAAAATCAGATACCTGGATTTGTTACATTCCCCAACAGGGTCTTTTTTGCTTATTTCTCTAATGTAAATATAAATGGTGAAGATAAGCTAATAAAAATGTTATTTATAGTTAATTGTTTTATATAAATTAGGACACAATTTATAATCAAGTATGTAGATAAGACTTTTGATAACCTGATATAAGTAACCAAACAAACTAATAGAAAGTAATTAACGTCTCTTAACTTACGTATATAGCATTTTCCTCATCTTGTGGTTGTCCTGTTAGTATGCGATAGGAGTCGTCACTGCTTCTGCGACTGACTGCTCCACAGACAGCCCTGCGAAAGGCGCGGGCGACCAATGAACACAGACCGCATTGCCGCCTGCCGTCCAAATGGTCGCCCTGTCGTCTTCCGCTGTCCTTCGACTTCCCTTCAGTAAGCTGATCTCTTTCCACATCCCTGCAGCACGCCACTGTGCACCACGATGACAATGACGCTATCTTTTGCCCTGTTTGAAGTCGAATTACTTATGTATTTAAGTGGTAGGTCAAGAGGGCGTTTTTGGTAGAGGGTCTCTCCGGAGATGTGTGGTGGCGTTTTCAGTTGTCAGCAAGACGTCAGCAAAGAACCTGAAAATTTTATATTTTAAAAATATTTTAATAAAGCATATAAAAGTATTTTAATAAATCAGATAAATTTTTTTCAGGAATTTTAATAATAACCAGTAATTTTGGACATACGTATAGCATATTTCGGACATACAAAGCAAAGAGAAAAACAGTCGAAGATGCTAATTATGTAAGCATATTTCAGTATTAGCCCAGTCGTCAGAGAGTTGACCAAGAATCTGAGATAATTTTAAACAAAAATATTTATTAGCACTTTTTGTGTAGAATGAACCGTTCTCTCAGAAGCAAGGCTTAAAGAGAGAGTCGATTTTGAATATCACTTACGTGTGCGAAATCAATTGTATCAGCTCGATGATAAATTCTATATTGATATTTGTGTTTTTGTGGAAGCTAGGGAACCCTGCAATAGTGTACAAATTGCTAGGAAAGTTAACGTGAATGCTCGAACTGTCCAGCGAGTTCTCAAAAGGAATGGGTATCACTGTTTTAAGATACAACCAACACAAGAACTGTTTCTGAAAGATAACTTTAGGCGGATGGAGTTTTGTGATTTTATGTTAGATAAAAATAATGAAAATGTACACTTTTTAAAAATATTTTATTTTCTGACGAATCTTCATTTTCATTACATAAAAACCATTGCAAAGTATTATTATCGGAAAAATAAGCACCTCAGTATTGCAGTGCATTTTTTATCGATAGAAACCTAAACGAGCCCAAATATTGACAACTTTTACAAACTGAGATCATTCCGGCAGTTCGACGCCTTCCCGTTAATTTTCAGGAGGTTTATTTCCAACAGGATGGGTGTTTGGCTCACAACTCTAGAGCAACTATTGACTTCCTCAATCAAACGTTTCCTGATCGACTGATAAGTACACGTGGTACAATTAAATGGCCCGCTAGATCCTGTGACTTAGCGCCTAACGATTTCTTTTTTTGGGGTTTTCTCAAAGAAAACATTTATAGGCATCAGTTTGAAAGGCCACAAACCTAGTCGAATTAAGGTCAAAAATACTTCATTTCTCTGCAAGCATTACACCAGCCCTACTCCAAAATATGAGGAGAAATCTGTATGACAGATTTGGTTACTGTTTAGCACAAGGAGGTGGAATATTTGAGCCCTTAATTCATTAATCTGCTTTCCTAATTTTTATTTTTTGTTAGGTACATTTTACGAAGTTTGTAGGTTCTTAATTAGGTAGTATTTTTTATGTTTAAGTTTGGAAGAATTTTATTGTTTTTTTTTTATTTAAAAGTACAAACGATTCTTATTCTGATTTTTTTCTTCTTTCTTGTCTTATTGTTATAAGCTTTGTCCATAAAATTTGTACAATTTTCAGTGACAATAAAGCATATTACTTATTTACTTACTTATTTATTTGTATTGCTATTAAGGCTAAAAAATAACCAAAAAATTAGTTTTAGAGCATTATAATAAATATACTCTAGAGATGGGATTGCAATAAACCTTATATTTCTATGGTCAACAAAACCATGTCGTTATCTATCTATCTATATATATATATATATATATATATATATATATATATATATAATATATATATATATATATATATATATAGTATGGCTCAAGAAACTCTATAAAGCTGTAATATCCAGCTTCAGGAATACGGAGATTGGGGTGGAATATAAAAGCAGGGTATAAACGATGTAGTATAAAGGACGTATCTTAAAAATATTGAGATAAATACAGTAATCAAAAATGATTATTATAATCAAAAATATTCCATTGCAATAATTTTTTTTAAATCAAAAATCTAGGGCACACGTATTGTATAACACGCGTGTCTTGTTTCAAAATACTTTTGCTGCTACAATTTTTAGATTTATCCTTGAAGATTGGTTTTATATAACCTCATGTAAAACCTCAGGAGTTATATATAAACATATTTGGCCTAGTAACGAGTCAATTTCTAGTGACTTAATTATCATAACTCATTCGTAGTCGGTATTCGTAATGTAAGGTGTAAACACGTAATTAATTATTAAAGAAGTAATGCTACCCACAATAAGCTATCCCGATGTAAATAGTAGTGAATAAATTCGATCCATCGCAATATATATTTACCAATCCTCTCCCAATTAGTCAATATGTAGTTCTGTAAGCAATATTGCCAATCCATTTAGGCATTAATATGGTGGAAGTACAAGATATTTCCATTCAATTAAATTACAACGCTATAACTTGATATATACATGAAAACTGAGGTGTACCACGTAAGATTATACCCTAATATGATGTACCCTGCAGAAATACGGCCTTACACAGGTAGAACAAAACTCATATAATGGAAACAACAGAGATGGCGCAAAACAGAATCCTAAGAATCTCTCGAGACAAATCGTTGGTGTGACTGTCTAGAAGATACCGAAGAATGAACAGGCATCTATTAAAAAGAATGAAGAAGAAGAACTAACTACATACAAAGTTTTTTATAATATAAATCCAAGTAAATAAAAATGTATTTGATCTACAACTAATAGCTACGCACCAATCTATAAACCTAGCCAATCACTTACATACAAGTACAATGTTTAATCGGCAAATTTATGTAATTGTTTAGTTAATAAAAGTTCAAGTAATGCTCCAATAAACCTAAATCTAGACACACTCTTAATCAACATGTCATTGACACAGATTCAGTGGAATTTAGCAATTACAAGGAAAATGTGCGTTAAAATTGATTTTTATTTTAATGGCATAAATTCGTATGTACAGATAACAATGAGATGCATAGATATCGTAGAAATAGATTCTTTTAAGTCATCATAATATGTCATTTAAATTGTATGTTGAGAAGTTTGTTAAATTAGACTTAAAAATAAATTCTCAGTTGGTGGTTTTATTATCGCATTTAATCGTTATACAGTCTTGAGAAATTGGACAAGAAATAATGACAATAAATGAATTGGAAATGACAGAAGGAAAAAACATCTATTATAAACTTTAAACAACAAATAATAAGAAATGTGATTGAATACTGTAATGCTACTTTTTGATACTTTACAAAGAGGATTAAAACAAAATGGCACAATATTATAATTCAACACTATATATTATGTTAACCCTTTCAGTCACACTGTACCTCAAGAGGTACATTTATTATGTATGATTTCAAACATCAATGGGAATTGACTTATACCCAAGAAAATATTTTGCAGGTCAAATATCATGTCTAATTAGTAACACCTGCATTCTGCACGCGATTTTGTTTTGGCTTGACAGTTATAACCTGATTTGAAATTAGTTCGTTTGAGTGACATTTGCAAGAGGTTAGGACAGTCTGTTTGAGTATGTTGTTTTTGCTGTTTATTTTCGAGAATAAACGCTAATATATGTTTGATAGGTACCTAAGTAAACAATGTACTTAATTTATCATAGTATGTATTAGTTTCTAAAATGTAGATGATACAAAGTAGTAATTTGGGCACCTCAATTACATGTACCTTATGAGGTACAAACTGCTTTTAAGGAGGTTTTTGCGACAAATATTGCTAAACATAGTAAAAAACCACTTACACATGAGGAGTTACTATATTATCTTGAAAATGACGATGACTTAGATATTCCGGATCTTGACGATGAAGATGATGGAGGGAGGATGATACTTAACTGGAAACTAATGATGAAATAGTTCAATTTTTGAATGAAAGTGCCCGTTGAGATGAAGAAGAAATTAATTCTCAAGATCTAGAGGATGATTTGGAGCAAGAGCCAAGCAACGACCAAGAAGTTACGGAAGATGAAGTAAATCAAATGAATCCAGAAACAACTATTGAAGTGTCTTTTAAAAAGCATGATTTTACTGAAAAAAAAAGCAAATAAAATGGATAAGGTGTACAGTTCGAGACCAGAAAGGTAACATGCTATGATCCCATTCCAGAGCAAGTTGTTGATTTACTAGCACCAGTTGAGTTTTTTCAATAAGTATATATCTGATCATATCATCTCAGTAATGGCTGTGATGACAAATCATCATTCCGTGTACAAGCATATAGTAAGATTTTCTTCAACGACGCCTGATGAAATAAAAAAATTTATAGGGATACACGTAATAATGGGAAATGTACAATATCCTCGAGTTAGAATGTATTGGTCCTTACATGTTGGAATTCCACTGGTAAAAGATAACATGCCATATAATAGATTTTCCAAACTTAGGCAAAATATTCATCTCGTGGATGTAAATAACCGACCAGAAAATAATACAGATAGACTGTGGAAGGTACGTTCCCTGTACGATAGTATCAGAAAAAGATGTCTAGAACTGCCTCTAGAAAGAAATTTATGTGTGGACGAACAAATAGTACCATTTAAGGGTAACATAAATATAAAACAATACATCAAGAATAAGCCCAATAAAATGAAGAATCAATATTTATGTTTTAGCTGGCCAAAGTGGTCTTGTATATGACTTTATATTATATCAAGGGTTCACTACAAAATTGAAGCCCATATATACCCATGTTGGTGCATCAGCAGGCGTTATCATGCATCTATCTGACAGAATTGCAGAAAAACGTCATTTCTTATACTTTGACAATTACTTCAATACTTACTCTCTTTCAGTATTTAAACTCCAAATCTGCATATTCGGTGGGTACCTTAAGACTAAATCGTTTTTTTTTTAACCACTGCTTCCTAGTGATCTTGAAACAACAAGGCCGAGGAACTAGTGCTGTTTCTGTTAGCAGGGATGATATAGTGATCACGAAATAATCACAACAAGGAACTGTAAATAGTGATAACGTATGAATAACTGGCAAGAGAAGTAAAAAATCAAACAAATTGTAAGACGTGCTACCTGAATTCTAGAAAACAGATCACTGATACCTTCCTATAGATGAGTTTAAATTGCACACTTAAAAAACATGCTAGTAGGATAAACACAGTACACACAAACTGTTACCGTACCAGAAATAAAATAAATAGGGAAATAACCAAGCAGGACTTTTAGTAAAGAAAATAAAAAAGA